AAAAAATTTTCTTTTCATTATAATTATTTTTAATTTTATATTTAAAAAATTGCTTATTAATTTTACTATAAATTTTGTATTAGTTTCTAACGATTATAATAATATTAATTTTATAAATCTGAATTCCAGAAACAATTTAAAGAAATTATTTTTAGATCCTACTTTCAAATAAATCAATTAAATCAATGATAAAGTATTTCCAAATTGACTTTTCTAGACGATACTCTTATTGACTATTGGGAATAAATCTAAATTTGACTCAATCTGTTACAAATTTTATAGATCTGTAGAAAGATAATAGATTTAAATAATATTTCAACTGACAATTTCGAATGTTTAAAATCGTTTATAGTGAATTATATTATGTTTTAATGCTTCATGAAAATTCTATTTTGATGTATTTTTAAAATATTTATTAAATTTAGTTTATATAAACAGAAAAAATTAAGTTTCTACGGACGTAAAAACAAACGAATGCACCGAAATCCTATTACGAAGAACTTCATAACGCAATTTATCATTGATTACATTGTTAGAGTGATGATATTTTAAATATTTTAATATTTGTTTTAAGGATATTTTAATATAATAAATAAGTTATACGGGTATAATAAAAGTATAAACAATTAATAAAGATTTAAACTTTGTTTACAGAAGCATAAGAACAGATGTATAGTGGATTAAAGTAATTGAAGCGTATGGAAGTCAATGATGGTTAATAAAAATAAAAAAAGTTAAATATCAGGCGGCAGATAACAAGAAAGATGTTTACAATTTGAAAGGATAATACGTCAGGATCGATTTCAATTATCTTGTAGAGAAAATAAAAAGATAAATATATAATACTTTAAAAATTCGAAAATACTTATAGTTTAAGACTTAAAATTTATTCTATTATTATTATTTTTACTCGAAAATAAATTTTGCTAAGAAATAAAATATATTTTAATATTGTATTTTATTTAAAAAATAAGATTAAAAAATACAATAATTTTACAAAAATACAATTTTATAAAATACAATAAAATAGAATGTTTTGATATTACACTTTTTAAAAAATACAATACACGTTTTTGTAAATAATATAAACTATAATAAAAATTTAAAAATTTACTGATTATTACAAATATTTTAATTTATTTATTTTTAATTTCAAATATTTTTAGCTAGATTTTAAATATTTAAAAATACTACGACTTTCGAAAAAGATCCATTTAGTATTCTTATGAATAAATAAATGAAGGAAAGAAAATTCAAAATGTAATGTCATAAATGGAATTATTTAGAGGAAAAAAATTACGAAAAAACGGTTTAAATCTAACAAAATAAGGAAAAATGTATACAGTAGTAGTTTTTTTCAGAAGGGAATTACAATAGAAAGTTATAAATAATTTTAGAAGGTATTCGTATACGAGAAAATATATCAGACTTAAGAGCTAGTGAAGAAGAAAAGTATGGTTTTAGATAGTGACTTTTTTGATTTAAACTTTAAAAAATTGAATAATACATGAG